ATCTGAAATTTCATGGTGTTGTAATTGGGGGAGGAGGGGGAGTTTGCAGTACTGCTACCCTTACTTCTGCGCTGCTGCTGGTGGTGGCACTGCCTTCAGCACTGGGCGGCTGGAGAGTGATGGCTGCTGGCAGGGAGCCCAGCTCTGAAGGCAGAGCCACCACCGGCAGCAGCACAGAGTAAGGATGGCATGGTATAGTATTGCCACCTTTACTTCTGTGCTGCTGCCTGCAGAGCTGGGCCTTCAGCAGCCGCCACTCTCTGGCCGCCCAGCTCTGAAGGCAAAAGCGCAGAAGTCAGGGTGGCATGGTATGGTATTGCCACCCTTACTGGCAGGCGCTGCCTTGAGAGCTTGGTATCTGGTATGGTATTGCCACCCTTACTGGCAGGCGCTGCCTTGAGAGCTTGGTATCTGGCCAATAGCCACCTCTCTCCAGCCGCCCAGCTCTGAAGGCAGTGCAGAAGGGTGGCAGTACCACAACCCCCCTAAAATAACCTTGCAAACCCCCTGTGACTCTTTTGGGTCAGGACCCCCAATTTGATAAACACTGGTCTCCCCCGTGAAATCTGTATAGTATAGGGTAAAAGCACACACAAGACCAGACTTCGTGTTTTTCACAGCTGTGAATTTGGTAGGGCCCTAGGTTTAGGACTTGTCTACATGGGGAGTTTAGTGCAGAGTAAGCTAGTATGTGAATTTAAGGTGTACTAGCCACTCTGCACTAACTACTTACAGACCCCCTTACTTCCACTCGTACTCGTCGTGCACTAGCTACTCCACGCTTGCTGCTCTGGGCTTTTTCCCCTGTAAGGTTTCTGTATGCTTACAGCTCTGTGTTCCAACTTAAGCCCAGAGCAGATTTACAACAGAGTTTCAGCCTGGGAGGAGTAAATAAGTTAAAATGGTCAGTTGTGTTGGGTTTTTGGACAACAAATATATTTTTATATTGTAGGTTGCATAACATCTTTTCAGTTGGTCAAATAAGTATCTCCAGTATTTAGCTGTAGAGGGTTGAGAGCCATTAAGCTGTCTTTGTCAATTCTCATGTTAGCATAAGAGCTTTTCCCTTGTTTGATACTAACAAAGACAAACTTGAAGTGCACTGAAAGGAAATTGTATTAAATATGCTGTGAATAATGAACATCAGCACTGTTGTACCTCACTATATAGAAGATATATCTGTGCTGGAAGAAGTTTAAACTAACATTGATAAAACAGGAAGGCTAGGTTAGCTGGATAACCTAGAAGCAGGAGGGAAAAAAAACAAATGAAACCATTCCTGGTTATGTTGCTCCTCAGATTATTAGAATCCACTGTCAGCACAATGGTAAGGATGATGGTTGCTTGCTTCTGAAAGTCCTTTGAGTCTTTCTGAGGTGTTCATTGAGTAGATAAATACTGGAGAATAAGCATAGTTTGCTAGATAGGAAGTAGATGGGAAGTATGAGTTAGTTGTGATGACTCTAAATATTGACACGCTCTAATCAAGGCTTTTTAGGAGGGAGGTGTGTGTTTTACTTTTTTTAAAGTAATCTTGAATAATTTTGTGCATTTCCTGCTCATTTCAAAATATGCTAACGCAGTGAGAGTTTTTTAATTCAATTTAATTTTTGTATTGTGACGTTACATTCCATATTCTTTATGGAAATATGCTTATGATATGGATATGGCATAACTGAGATATTTATTCCCCTTGACCTGTCAGTCACCCGCGAAGGCACTGAAAATGCACCTTTCAAAAAAAATTTCTCCCTTGGCTTCTGTGACTGTCCCTCTCTTGGTTCTTATCCTACTTTTCAAATCATTCCTTCATCATGTCCTTCAGAGAGTACTCCTCATCCCACCTCCAACTATCTGTGGGTGTTCCATAGGGTTCTGTCCTTGGTCCTCTTTTCTTCTCCCTCTAAATCTTATCTCTGGGTAATCTCATCTGCAGATTCAAATTTAACTACCATCAACTGTGTGGACCTTCGCTCCAGATAACTCCTGTTATCTTCTGTACAAATTAAAATCTTGGCCGTCTCTCTGACATCTCATGGATGCCAAGCTTAAATATGGATAAAATAGAGCTCTTAATGTGCCCCCTAAAATGCTTCCTGCTACTTCTTTCTCGATTACTGTAAACACCACCATCCTGCCTATCATTCTCTTTGATGTGGACTTCTCTCTAGGTCCTCCCATCCAGGCTATATTTAAGTCTTGCAGATTCCTTTCTGGATAACATCTCTAATATATGGCCTTTCCCATCCATCCATTCATTTAAAACTCTCGTCTAGGCTCTTATCATCTTGTCTCTCAATTACTGCAATATCCTTTTTTCTGGCCTTGATAAGTGCACTCTTGCCCCACTCATATGTTCAGAATGCTGCTATAAAGATGATCTTCCTAGCCCATCACTTTGACCATGTCACCTCTCTGCATCCCTCCACTGGTCCCCACTACTCTGTCATATCAAATATAAGCTGTTCATCTTCACTTTCAAACCCCTGACCTGCCCCCCCCCACCTATAATATCTCATTGGCAATCAAGAGTCGACTCTTGCGTCCAATCAGACCATGATACTACCCTTTATTGCCCACTTGTTAAATTTTCAAACAAGCACCTTCATATTTTCTCCTGTGCTGGCCTGAAAGGAGCTCCCTGTAAACATCTGCAAAGCTACCTCATTCAAACCCCTCCTTTTCTGTGATGCTTACAAAAAGATTGGCAACATTTAAGTGGTGGATACGCTGAGACCACTAAACAATGCAATCATGTTGACTAATATTGTCTCATTGTTTTTCTGCACTTCACCATCTGACTGTATCCATCTGTTGTCTCTTATTTTATATTTTGATTGTAAGCTTGACCATGGGCAGGAACCATCTTTTTGTTCTGTATTTATACAGCATCTAGCACCGCAGGGCACTGGTCCAAAACTAGGGCACCTAGATGCGACAGTATTTAAATAAAGAAAGAAAGAATGAATGGACATTAGATTACATTGTACCAGTGCTCTTGTTCATAATGAAGCTAGACATTTGTGCACTTTCAAGACTTTCTAATGTAACATAGTGCCCTTAGATGAGTTGTCAATGAGAATTAAACCTAGGACCTCTGGGTCTAAAACCATTAGTCTCTACTGACTGACTTACAAGGCTGACATCTGTTGGCTCAGAGGCTGCAGTGAACTCAAACATCTGTGGTTCAGCCACCAGAGGGGGCTAGAGACCTACAGAGTATAATTGTGGGTTATGCTAGCACAGTGGTTCTCAACCTTTCCAGACTACTGTACCCCTTTCAGAAGTCTGATTTGTCTTGCCTACCCCAAGTTTGACCTCACATAAAATTAGCTTACAAAATCAGACATAGAAATACAAAAGTATAACATACTATTACTGAAAAATTGCTTACTTTCTCATTGTTATCATACAATTATAAAATAAATCAATTGGAATATAAATATTGTACTTACATTTCAGTATGATCCTTGAGGCTGTTTTTTCACTTGTGGGAATTGTCTGAAGCTCAAGCCCCGCCACATGGAGCTGAAGCATGTAACTTAACTTCATGTGGCTGCCTGTGGTGTGGGGCCCTGTTCCACTACCCTGCTTGCCACTGCCTAATGCAGGGGATGGCAAACTACGGCCCACGGACTGGATCCGGCCTGTCAGGGCTTTCAATCCGGCCTGCGGGATTGCCAGCCCCGTGGCGCAGCGGGGCTAAGGCAGGCTCCCTGCCTAAGTAGGTTCCCTGCCTGCACAGGCCCCGTGCGGCTCCTAGAAGCGGCTGGCACCACGTCCCTGTGGCCCCTGGAGGGGGCGGAGGTAGAGGGCTCTGTGTGCTGCCCTTGCCTGCAGGCACCACCCCCCACAGCTCCCATTGGCTGGGAATGGAGAACTGCGGCCAATGGGAGCTTTGGGGGTCGTACCCACAGATGAGGGCAGCACGCATCTGAGCCGCCTGCCCCACCCCACCCCCAGGAGCTACTGCCAGACATGCTGGCCATTTCTGGGAGTGGTGCGGGGCCAGGGTAGGTAGGGCATCTGCCTTAGCCCCGCTGTGTGCCACTGCCACCCCAGAGCTGTTTGAGGTAAGTGGTGCCGGGCCGGAGCCCACACTTCAAACCCCTCCTGCACCCTGCACCCCGCTCCCCAACCCCTGCCCTGAGTCCTCTAAGCCCCTGCTGCACCTCTCCTGCACCCCAGCCCTTAACCCCCTCCCGCACTCCACACCCCCTCCTGCATCCCTACCTCCTGGCCTGAGCCCCCTCCTGTACCCCTCCCTCCTGTACCCCAACCCCTTGACCTGAGCTCCTTCCTGCACACTGCACCCCAACCCCCTGCCCCAGCCCTACATTCATGGTCCTGCTTACAATTTCCCCACCCAGATGTGCCCCTTCGTCCAAAAATTTTGCCCACCCCTGCTCTAATGCCAACTTTGCACTTGCAAGCCCCCCAAACCCATCCCATAACTCCGTCCCCATGGGCTGCAACCCCCAGGTTGAGAAACAATTATCTAGATGAGTTGAGTATCCCCTGGATGACCTCTGAGTACCCCTAGTGGTACACGTACCCCTGGTTGAGAATCACTGTGCTAGCATTCCAAAATAACCTTAAAGTCATATTTATGGAAAGGTCCTTTGAGATGTTATGAAAAATATTTATACTGGTGCATTTAATTATCTTGTTAACTTTACTTTTTAAACACTAAAGACTATTTTAAAGGATACTTACTATGAAATCAGTTTTCATTTATTAAAATATAAAACATGCACATTATGTAATCTTGGTAGTTTTTCTTTACAGGTGATCCTGTGAATTAATGTTCCATCAAAGATGGCAGAACACCCTCCACTACTGGATACCACTCAGATTATAAGTAGTGAAATTCCTCTTCTACCTGCCCCTATTGTTAGTGGGGATGGAGCACAACAGGTAAAGAAACTTCAACACCTTTGCTTTCTTTTATGCCATATAACCACATTTCTTTTGTATATGTACCAGCTGAAGAGGTGGGATATTTGAAAAGCTCCAAATCCTGAAAAACACCAAAATGCTCTTTAGCAAAAGTCTTGAAAATAATAGTCACACCATTCCAGTATCTCTTGAGAAGTCAGTGTAGATCTAGGCTGACTGTTTTTTGTTCACTTTTTAGGCTGTGGAATAGAGAAACTGCAGTCTGAGTACTGCAGTTGCGAGATTCTGATCCTTTTGTTGAGACATTTACATTGCCTATAGAGATTGTAAATATTTCCAAAAATGTTGATATTTAAGATGAGCCTGTTAGCAATTATCATAGAGTTTAAGGCCAGAGTGGACAACCAGATCATCTAGTTTGATCTCCTGTGCATCACAGGTCACAAACACCACCCAGCACCCGCACACTAAACCCAACAACTGAAATTAGACTGAAGTATTACAGCCCACAAGAGACTAAACTGGTGTGTGCCACAGGTAGAGAACAGGCAGTACCGAGATGCACAATGCCAGAGTTTCTTGAAATGGCAAGGAATTGATTAAGTGAGAGATACCCATATAATCCCCACAAATAACCCACATCACATGCTGCAGAAGAAGGCACAAACCCTAGGTCACTGTTGATCTGACCTGGGGGAAAATTCCTTTCGAACCCCACATATGATGATCAGTTACACCCTGAGCATGCAAGCAAGAACCAGCTAGCTAAGCCCGTGAGAGAGAGAATCCTCAGTGCCACCTAAGAGCACTGGCCTACCCTGTCCTATGTCCCATCTCCAGCCATGGTCATCTCTGATCCTTCAGAGGAAGGAGACCAAAAAAAAAAATACATTGATGGGTGAGGAGTGTGTAGAAATCCCGTCCTGATCCTTGCAATTGACCTGTTGAAGCCCTGAAGCTTGAGATTTGAGGGGCACAAGACATACATGAGACAAGACCCTCAGAGTTGCCAAGTCCTGCCCCCATGATAACATGCAACCCTGTCATATAATCCCATTCATAAATTTATCCATCTCTCTCTCAAAACTAATTAAGTTATTTGGCCCCACAACTCCTATTGGGAGGCTGTTCCAGAATCTCACTCTGAAGGTTTCTAACCTTCTTCTAATTTCCAGCCTGAATTTGGTCACAAGCAGTTTATACCCATTTTGTTCTTGTGCCAACATTGTCCTTTAGCTTAAATAGCTCTTAACCCTCTGTGATTCCCTTTTCAGCCGCCTTTTCATTAGGCTAAAACAAGCCAAGCTCTTCCAGTCCCCTCTCATAGCACAGGCCCTCCATTCCCTGGATCATCCTTGTAGCTCTTCTCTGCACTTGTTTCAGTTTGAATTAATCTTTCTAGAACATGGGCAACCAGAATTATATGCCATATTCCGAATGAGTTCTTACCAGTGCCTTGTACAATGACATTAATATGTCCGTGTCTGTATTGAAAATGCCACGCCTGATCCATCCTAGGATCACATTTTGCCTTTTTTGCAGCTGCATCACATTGGTGACTCAGTCATCCCGTGATTAACCAACACACTCAGGTCACTTTTCTTATCTGTCACAACTGATGAGCCCACAGTGTTTTGTAGATATTCTTATTGAAGCTTAAACGCATAACCTTGCACTTTGTACTATTGAATTTTATCCCATTTCTGTGCACAGAGGGTGGCAGCAGTCTTCCTCACTGCAACCATTTCTGTTGCCATCTTCCTGGCTTTATATTAGCCCAGCCCACACCTACTGAACTAAGCTTCATCTTCCAGTCAAGGGTTGCTTCTCCAGCCTGATCCCTGCATGTGTGGCATTTTACATTAATTGGCCCTTTCTTGGCTTACTTATTCCTTTCAGAAGTGATGTGTGGTAAACATCCCATCACACTGGCACAGTCTATACCCCGGTAAACCCATGTTGCATTACATCTTGTTTTCTGTTTACCTCTATAAATTTAATTATTCTTTCCTTTGCAATTTGTTCTAAAATCTTGCATACTATTGAGATCAGACTAACAGAGCTGTAATTGCCCACAAGTATATGTATGACATTAGCTATTCTCCTGTCATGCAGTAGTACCCCAAATAGATTTATTCAAAATCTTTGCTACTAGACTAGCAATCTCATGTGCCAGTTTTTTCAGTATTTTGGGGTGGAAATTGTCTGGTCCCTCTGATTTGAGCGCATTAAACTCTTCAAGTTTTTCTTCCACCTCTGTTGTGGTCATACCTATTTCTATGCACTCATTTCTATCAGCCATCCTGCCTTCGTACCCATGTTCCATATTATCCTCCTTATTGAAAACAGAGACATTGTATTAATTTAGTTTTGGGGCTTACTTAGATTATCTTTAAGCTTCTCCCTATCCACACTGCACACAGACCTCATCCTTCTTCATTCTATTTTTATATAACTAAAAACCTGTGACTACTTATATTAATTTCCTTGGCAAGAACTAATTCAGCCTGGCTTTTAGTAGTTCTCACTTTATTCATACAATTTCTAACCTCCAAGATATAGCTGTCTTCACTGATCACTCTTTTTCCATTCGCTATGGGCTTTCTGTTTACTCCTAATAACCTTTTTGAGATAATTATTCAGCCAGATGGTTCTGGAGTCTTTCCCTACAAGTTTTTCCCCCCCTTGCTTGGGATGCAAATTAAAGATAATTTGTGTATAGTTGATTTAAAAGAAATTCCAAGCCTCCTCCACATTGAAGCGCTTGAGCTCTTTAGTCCAGGTGACTTCTTTAATTCCATTAGTTTCCCAAAATCTGCCCTTTTGAAATAAAAAACGTCCTTGATGACCCGGTTTTGATTATCCTTCCATTTAATTTAAACTGAATCATCTTGTGATCAGTCAATCCAAGGTTATTTCCTATGACCAGCTGTGATGATCGGTGTGACACAGGCTTTCAGTAGAGACCTTACATGACATGCTTTGACAAACTATAGAGACCAGACCCAGGGAATCCCTATGACCCTATGCACTCCTGTGCCCTCTGCCAGTGGATCCCAAGAGGTCCCTGGGTCACATCAAGTAATGTTTCAAAAAACCTGGTACCAATATAGATGCCAATTTTGTTGCTTCAGGAAAGTACTGTATAAAACCTGTTAATGGTTCCTCAAAACTAATAAAGAACATAATATACTTCTTATCAAGCCAGCAGAAAATGTGCACTGTATGGAGCAATATTATGCCACAAGGGAGAAGGACTGCATGACCTATTGACAGTAGATCTTTGCTACAATAGACACTTCATATTCAGTTTTTTCTTCATTCTACATATGTTTGTTTTTGCATTAATGAAAAACAAGATCCCTATAAGTGTCTGTAGTAGTTCCGGGGTGGGGCTCGTCCCTTCCTGGGGCACCTGGGAGCCAGGCCGCCC